ACAAAGTAGAGAATAGCTTCAAGCTACTTCTGAATCTTTTGTGCTACTAATGCTTGATCAATATTTTGTTATAACTAGGTTCCCTTCGCCTTATGCATTTTGGTCACTGAAAACTTCAGTTATGTTGTTAGATCGCTGCATTTCATCCCATGCCATTTTATCCCGCAAAAAACCGCGATGAATTCCAACTCCGGAGCTTTCTTTCTGTCAAAAAAATTGAGTTCCATTTTATTTAGTTTCATCCCCGCAAATCTACAGCTAGAGTCTATAGAACCTTTCCTAGCGTAGGGATATATTCGTAAATATACACAGTCAATTAAAAGAAAAGTAATTAACACATCATTTTAAACAATATTATTTAATGCAACTGTCATATTTGCTAAATCCGCTAACAAGGTTTCAATTATCTTGTTCCTTAGGTAAGAATGATAACATGCGGCTTAGCGCATGTTGATGTGTTATAGAGAGCTAATATTGTCTTCATCTTTAATCATTCCATGATATGTTGCCGAAATGAGTTTTGGCTGAAAATCAGAATTTTCTCCATTGACAGGCGGTAATGAAGACAATCGAATAACGAGACAAACAGCTGTTAAAGGCAAATAAATTGACTTGCACAAATGTGCAAGCCTCTAATATATTGGCAACAGAAAAAGAGTTCAAGTTGGTTATACGGCAAGGTTTTGTTGTATCTAAAATAATGCGGTACTCATACGCCAAGGCAATTGGGCAGGCAGGCATGATAAGTGCCTAGCCTAACACATTAACTGAAGCTTCTGAGGATTAAAGTAAATCAAAGGAGGGCAAGTTGATAAGAATATATATAATATGCATGCATATACAGGAATAATGTAGCATAACAAATATAACTGATCAAAGAACATACACAGTTATGGAAAAGATACGTGGAATTGAAGATGTCACTTTTCGATAAAAATGAGCTAGATATTACTTTAATGGCGTTGCTATTCTACTTTTTGATCGAAAGAAAATAGCGGCTGAGCATGCATCGCATGCAATCTTACGTTCTATGGACACATCTTAGGATTTGTAGAGAGCACTTTAGAGAAGAAGGAAAAAAAACATTAATGTATCATGCCGTAAAGCTTACAAATAAATTTATGCAGTCATTCTTTTATGAATTCGCACTTCTGAAGCTTTTATATGTTTTCGTGAAGGGCATACTTGAGCACTGGTCCAATTGTTTTATAGGTCACTTTATTATGGCTTTAGAGCGATTGGCAACGTGTTTGGACATCTTGTTTGGATATAAGCCGTCCCCCTCCCTCCCCCCCCCCCCCCAAAAAAAAAGCCGTCCCCTAACCCAACTTATTTTTTGTGGCTTATAAGCCATATGGATTGATCAAGCCACATCAAGTTTACCCCTCAACATTTAAAATAATTTCAAAGTATATTCGATGTTTAAATTTAGTGTAATGTTCAATTTGGTCATTTTAACAGTAATGATGGATTATAATCCGTCTATTTGCCAAACATTATCCCATTGAAAACGGCTTAAAATCTTTTTTTTTACCGAACACCTTGGCTTATAATCCACTTGGCTAATAATTCATTTGTGGATTATAAGCCAAGCCGATTATAAGCCAATTCGCAAACATGCCCTGATATAATGCGTGCGATATAAATTAGATTTATTCTTTAAAGACGACGTATATTTGACGACTGAACATAGTAGAGTAGTTCCTTAAGTAGTAAAATTAAGATTGTCAATTAAGTAGTAACTCAAGTTTTGGTTTACCAAAGATAGTGTGTGATCAGGCCGATGATCTATTCTCTATAAATGATGAGTTTTTTTAAAATATTTTTTAAAGCACAAATGATGAGTTAATTACGTGAAGGCTTATCGAATATAATCAAATGAATTAATTGTGATAATGTTGAGTCCTCCACTGTATTAAAAAAACTAAGGGGTTCAAACCCGAAGTGAATATATATAAACATTCTTAACTAAAGTTTTGAGTCAAAAATTCAAAAATAAATTTCATCAATGTTAATTTTGCTTTCGCCTTGACAGACACTCTTTTGTATAACAGAGCACTTTTGGATTGATCAAAAGAAGTAATGACTAACTAAAGAGTTATCAGAAACTGATCAAAATGGACAAACCAAAAAAAAATATTGAACATTTGGTCTTGTGATTGTGATAATTGGGAGTACTATTTGTCAATTTGTATTAAAAGTTTATATCATGAGCAAAGAGTCCAAGTTTTACAAGTTTAGTTGCTTATATGAACTCAACTACCTAGCAGTTCTCTTCTTTAAAACAACTCAATCTACCATCAGAAAACAAAAAAGAGAAGATAACAGAAAGTTCACAACTAACTCCCTTTTCAGTGTTCAAGTGAATCTCAATCACCTCCATTGGCTAACTTCTCCATCTTCCCAAATCTTCGGCAGTCAAAATGGATAAAAACCCTACTTCCTCAACTCTATATAAATCCTCCAACATTCTCAACTCCAATGCACAACAAACCTTCATTAATTCTTCTTCCTATAGCCATCCACAATGAAGAACCAAGGCATTTGCAGCTTTCTTCTTATAGCCCTGCTTGTTTTTACCAATCCTGTCAAGGGTTCGGGCTTTGCCTCGACAAGCGGGACCCATTTCGTGATGAACGGGCGGCCGTTCTACACTAACGGGTTCAATGCTTATTGGATGATGTACATGGCGGGTGACCCGTCGACGAGATATCAAGTCTCCAATGCTTTCCAGCAAGCAAAAAGTCACGGTTTGAATGTTGTGAGGACTTGGGCTTTTAGTGATGGTGGCTATAGAGCGCTTCAGATTTCCCCTGGCTATTACAGCGAGGACATGTTCAAGGTGTACAACATTATATACAGATAGTTAAAAAAACCGAAGTCTGAATATTAATTTTTTTGGTTTGCATTTTTATTACAGGCATTGGACTTTGTGATATCTGAGGCTAGAAACAATGGAATTTATCTGATACTTAGTTTGGTTAATAACTGGGAGGGGTATGGAGGGAAGAAGCAGTATGTTCAATGGGCTAGAGATCAAGGGCAGTGGTTGAACTCTGATGATGATTTCTTTAGGAACTATCTCACAAAGCAATTCTTTAAGAACCATATCAAGGTAACATATAACCTGAGCTTCTTTGATTCATTTTATCCAATTTGGTATTTTGTTACTTATTATTGCCATGATTCAGGCTGTTCTCACAAGAGTTAACTCGATCACGGGAGTAATGTACAAGGATGATCCCACTATCTTTGCATGGGAGCTCATGAACGAGCCCCGTTGTCAGAGCGATAACTCTGGATCAACCCTACAGGTTAATTTTCAAGATGAAACTATAATTTCATACATACATACACACACACACACACACACACAACATTATATATTAATATATATTAATATATATATATTATATATATATATTATATATATATATACTATTGCTGTGTGTGTATATATATATATTAACTATTATATATATATAATATATATATATATATATAATAATATATAAATAAACTCAGCGTTTACAATTTTTCTAACTTTGTTTATGTTTGTGTATCAGAATTGGATATCTGAAATGACTTGTTATGTGAAATCTATAGATGGCAACCACATGCTTGAAGCTGGGCTTGAAGGATTCTTTGGCGAGTCAAGGCCTGATAGGAAACAATACAATCCTGGTTATGAGGTTGGGTCTGATTTTATTGCAAATAATCAGATCCCTCAAATCGATTTCACCACCATTCACATCTACCCTGATCAATGGTAAGTTGGTATATAAAAGAGGGACATGTTTCATTAAATTTAGTATCAGTTTGCCTTTTCTGTCAGTAGTGAACAAAAAGTGCTGGTAAGCATTGCATCATAGAGCTAAGGACAAAACAAAAGTTGCATAATCCTTACAAATACATGAACCTCTTTTATCCACGTACAAACCTCATAATTTGATAATTTGCATATGCATATACTGCTCAGTACCATATATTTGTTCTCATACATTTTTTGACGGATAGAATCACGATTGGTGCAGGATCAATGGAGCAGACGACAACGCCCAAACTTCATTTCTTCAGAGCTGGATCACGTCGCACTCCCAAGACTCAGCTTCCATGGGAAAACCACTGATGGTCACAGAATTTGGAAGATCAAATAGGCAATTCAACACGGCTCAGAGGGATGCTTACTACTGGACAGCCTACAACAGCATCTATTCGTCCGCCAGAAATGGAGGCTCTTGCGCCGGTGGGCTTTTCTGGCAGTATCTTGGCCAAGGGATGGACAACTTTAGAGACGGGTATGAGGTAATTTTCCAAGAATGCCCCTCGACAGAGAGTATAATATCGCAGCAGTCCCAGAGAATGCAGAGCCTGAACAATGCCAGGCCTAACGGGAAGAATCTGGAGAAGGCCAAGAACTAGATTAATAAGAAAAATATTTACAGAATTCCCTTTGCTTTGTTTCTTCGGAGGGATGAGTTATCGGTTCATACATTTGAAGAGATAAATCAACAAGAAAGATAGGATATGTTATGATTTATTGGTGGAAATAATACATGGTGTGTCCATTGTTCAGATGATCATACTGATAGCATCTTTCAACATTAATCAATAATTACTTATCCTGATTCAAAGTCTGTGTCTTATCATTATTCTGTCTGTGTCTTCTTTTTAAGGACAAACTTCACATAACACCCAACTCAAACATCTAAATTTTATGAAAATATGTGCTGCTACTATATTAAACGGATGAAAGTTCAAACTTTTATATTTATAGAAGAACTCTTTTTTTTTCTTTTTCCTTGATTTGCATGAATGCAAAATTTATTAATAGAAGAAACGAATGAGATGCTATGATTTTCTAATGCATAGAGTTTGACGACTACATACAAATTTCGATTTAATTTTAAAATTCTCCATACTTGTGCATTTTTATTGCTATAAATATTACTTATGATCATGATTATTAGAAAACTACAGCTCCATGCCTTTCCTCGGAAAAAGAAAAAGAAAAGAGAGGAAAATAAAAGAAGAAAAATAATTAACAAAACATGTCTGATAAGATTATTAGAAGTCAAGCTTATAGCGCATGAACGTATGCAATTTAGCGACTTCGTAAGAATTTTTTGATAAACAGATTGTTCTACGAGCTCTGTGAAGAAACCGCGATGAATTTTGGTAAAGAACAGGTTTTTGGAAACGCAGGAGTCTGTTTGGGAGCTGCGCGGTCGACCGCGGCGCAAGGCCGGTCGATCGCGAACGTGCACAGAACCAGGCATGAGCCTGGACTTGGTGCGGTCAACCGCCCGGTCAACAGCCACGGTCGACCGCCTGTAGGCGATTTATGGTCTCTGTCGTTGGATAGCGGTCGACCACGCGATTGGGGCGGTTGACCGCCAATCGGGTCAAGGCCCAGTTTTGGTTTCCTGTTCTTATTTGTTTTGGTGTTTGTATAAATACCAATACACGTTCTAGGGTTTCTTAAGGCTAGAGTTTGAGATATTTGGAGCACAGAAAAGAGGTATTTTCTGAGCTATTTGATTAGGGTTTATTTGGAGAGGTATTTTCTGAGCTATTTGATTAGGGTTTATTTGGAGAGATTAAGAGCTTTGTTGGTGAGATTAGTTTATTCCTTCGAGTGATTTGTAATCTCAGGTGAGATTAGTTTATTCCTTCGAGTGATTTGTAATCTCAAGTTGTACTCTTCTTCTCTATTAGTGAAAAACCCATCCCCTTCTTGCCCCGTGGACGTAGGCAATTGCCGAATCACGTTAAAATTGGTGTTTGGTGTTAGTGCATTGATGTTGGTTGGTTTTGACCCTCTTTGATTGGCGTTTGGTTTGGTTCCTCGACACGGTTTTCACAATAATTGGTATCAGAGCTCGGGCTACGCTTGGGCTATTTGGAGGAGTAAATCGATTTGGGAAGCTCGTCTAGGGTTTCAGTTGGTGAGAAATGTGGGATCTTTTTGGTAAAGCTTCTTTCTTTTCTTAGTTTTGGATCTATTCTTCGTTTGTTTCCGCATTGGTTGTTGGTGTGTTGAGGATTATGGCCGAGAAAGAGGGTGTTGAGGGTGGTTCTTCAGGTGTGAAGACTGTCCAAAATTTGAGTATCCACTCGATGAAGATTGACGAGGAGAAGTTCAATGGCACTAACAATTTTGGATTTTAGCGATGCGAAGTCTTGGATGCGCTCAATACGCAGAATTTGGAAGATACGTTGGAGTTGGACGGGAAACCGGACGACATTGATGAGAAGGTTTAAAAAAAGATGAATCGGACAGCGTGTGGTGTGATTAGCTCTTGTCTCACTCAAGATCTAAAATATGATGTGATGAATGAGACTTCAGCTAAGAAGATTTGGGAAGTCCGAAAACCGCTTGCATTTAAAGATGAGGCTTTATCGCTTTCAGTTGAAGAAGGGGACATCCATTAGTGATCGATCATTATTGAAGATGAGGATGAAGCGTTGTTATTGTTGAGTTCCTTGCCCGACGAGAAATATGAGACGTTCGTTCTTACTCTTATTAATGGGAAGGCATCTCTTTCATATAGTGAGGTCACTGCTGCATTAGTGAATTACCAACTTAGGAATAAGGATAAGAAGACTTCTATTGAGCCGGTAGCGGGGGCATTGGTTGCAAGAGCAAAGGGTCCAAACCGAGGTAGAAGGTCACAGTCTAGAAGGGCACATTTTGGAATTCGTAGGAATCAATGTGTTTTTTGTAAAGAAGATGGACATTGGAAAGCTGAATGCCGAAAGTTGAATGATCAAGTCGGGAAGAATAAGGGGAAAGCTATTCAGGCTTCAGAGGTGAATGTTGTCAAGACTAGTGGGAACGATTCAGATTTGGATTTTTCGGGCTACTCATTATCTGCACTGTCATCAGTTTGTGTTGCCTACTCTACAGAGTGAATGTTGGACTCGGGTGCTACATACCACATTTGCTCTAGGAGAGATTGATTCTCCAGCTTTCAGGAGTTGGAAAGAGGGGATTTCGTGCTCATGGGTAATGATCATGAATGTCTTATTGGTGGTATTGGCACCGTTCGGATTAGGATGAGTGACAGAATGATTCGGGAGTTGGTTGGAGTGAGGTTCGTTCCTCAGTTAAAGAAGATCATTTCACTTGGAGCTTTGGAGGCAGTAGGCTATAGGGTGACCTTGGCGGATGCACGTTTGAAGGTTATATTTGGGTCCATGATTGTGATGAAGGGCGTCAGAAGGAGTAACTTATACTATTTGCTTGGGAGCACGGTGATTGATAGAGCTCTGACGACTTCGTTGGATTTGGCTAGATTGTGACATTGTTCGGTGCTGGGGTATTTGATTGGTGATGCCGTGCATAGGTTGTTAAGGAGTGCTTTGACCTGCAAATGGAAGTCCTTTAAACACATTGGGATGAGCAAGACCATGGTGGAGTTTGGCACTTCTATCCATCGAGCGAGGGGTCTTTTAAGAGGTGTTCAGTCAGGCATTTGTGGGCCTTCCAAAGAGGCATCATTGGGAAGTAATCGTTTTGTAGTTTTCGCAGTTGGTGATTGTTCTAGGCATTATTGGGTCACGATCAATTCTCATTGGTGTAAAGTCCTAGAAGTCAACAACAATTGAAAGAAGTATATTGGTAGAATGGTAATTCGTTGTTCTAGCTTTAGTAGGGGTCCTTTCTTGCGTTTGTGCCGAGCTCATGGCAACTTGAAACAATTCATTGATGTGGAGACTTTAGGGCGACGAGATGAGATGACAGTTTCGATGGATCGTTCCTTTCTGGAGGAGGATCGATGTTGGTTGTCGAGCATTGGTTCTGGTTCTGGAGTTTCGACATATTTGGGTCATCTTAGTCATAGGTCGCCGACTGCTGCATTAGGAGTTATTGGATCTGGTGGAGCTGCTTCAGATTTTGGTTGGCGTCGGATATTTGGTTACCCAGCATTTGGTCACATCGAGGATGTGAGATTTGATCCGATTGCGCGTTTGGGATTCGGATGCTCGTTTGATTATTGGTTAGGAGCTTCTGATTTTGTTCTGAGCAGAATGTCACTTTTGACTCTCAGCGGGTGGAGAGTGTTGATCAGATCATTTGGATATCACAGCAGGTGGAGGGTGATGCTACTTCACGTTGGGTGGAACTTATTTCATATACTCCAGATCATACGGCGTCATTTGGCATTCCAGCTGAGGTGGCACAGGTTGAGGATTATTTAATTTCGAATGCAGATGATGGATTGGTTTTGGATTCGGTTGCAGCTGGTGGACATGATTTGGATACGGCTATTGGTTCACCTTAGATGGAGGTGTTTGGTTTGTATCAGTTTGGCGATATTGGCGAAGAGTTACAGACTTTTCTATTTGATTGAGGGTTTTTGGAGACCGTTTGGGTGAATTACGTAAAGACTTGATTCCTTGGGCAAGAGGATACGTAGGCAGTCTTTATGATGCAGCCGATTTGGTGAGTAGATACCGACGTTTGGGTGAGTGTTCGCACTCCCGTTTAGGTCTCGACTTGTTGAGGATTGAGAAACAACAAGTGGGGCATTTGGCTTGGTTGGTGTCGGCTCAGTTTTGGTAGAAACTTCGTCGAGGTGGAGAATTGAAGAAACCACGATGAATTTTGGTAAAGAACAGGTTTTTGGAAGCGCAGGAGTCTGTTTGAGAGTTGTTCGGTCGATCGCGGCGCAAGGCCGGTCTACCGCGAACGTGCATAGAACCAAGCATGAGCCTGGACTTGGTACGGTCGACCGTCACGGTCGACCGCCAGACCCTGTAGGCGATTTATGGTCTCTGTCGTTGGATCACGGTCGACCGCGCGATTGGGGCGGTCGACTGCCAATCGGGTCAAGGCCCAGTTTTGGTTTCCTATTCTTATTTGTTTTTTGTGTTTGTATAAATACCAATATATATTCTAGGGTTTCTTAAGGCTAGAGTTTAGGATATTTGGAGCACAGAAAAGAGGTATTTTCTGAGCTATTTGATTAGGATTTATTTGGAGAGATTAAGAGCTTTGTTGGTGAGATTAGTGTAGGCGTCAAAAAATGCTAATAGATATCCCAGACATAGAGAAAATCACTCAAAGGGACCTCATACTGCTTTAAGAAAATCAAAGCAGGTATGAACTGTCTCGCCAGCGAGACAGTGTTTGCTGTCTCGCCAGCGAGACAGGCTTTGCTGTCTCGCCAGCGAGACAGTGTTTGCTGTCTCGCCAGCAAGACAGTGTTGAAATGGTCAAAACCAACTTTTTAACTGCCCTACACGTGTCCATTAACTACCAAAGGACGTGGGAAACATCGTGGGCGAAAATCACGTGGATAACTGCCAAAATAACGGAGTTTGAAACGTGGGATAACAGTTACAGCGAGAAACTGTCGTTTTCCAAGACAGTATTTACTGTCTCGCTGGGCGAGACAGCAAATTTACTGTCTCACGGGCCGAGACAGCAAACACTGTCTCGACCAGCGAGACAGTAAACACTGTCTCGCCGTACTAATTTCTGCAGTTGTTGAGTTTTTGCAGTTACAGACCCCTAAGGCTATAAATACCCCCCTAGGGTCATTTCTGACGAGGATCGAGCATTCCAGAGCAGAGAGAGCAGAGATCTAAGTTCTTGGAGCAATCCCTTGACATTCAGGCTTTGACTTGATTTCAAGAAGAACGACTATCTTACTTCGATAAGATATCGTTTCAATTTCTAACTTCGATAACGAAGGAAGAATCAGTAAACCCCTCTTCACGATTTGTGATTCGGTGGTCCACGAGCTAAAGCGCTCCCGGCACGGCACAGGCAAAGAACCCACGAAAGCAGTGATCCAAACAACGATCCTGCGTTTATTTTCTCAAGAGTTGTAGTTTTCTTTTTGTTGTGTAAAAGAGTATTATAAAAAGGCTGTTTTCTTTGAATTTATTGTAATCAACCGAAGATATAATGAATTCGACAACAAATTCAACTTTTGCTGAAAACAATTAGTTTGTTCATTCGAGTGATTTGTAATATCAAGTTGTACTCTTCTTCTCTATTAGTGAAAACCTCATCTCTTTCTTGCCCCGTGGACGTAGGAAATTGCCGAACCACGTTTAAATTGGCGTTTGGTGTTAGTACATTGATTTTGGTTGGTTTTGACCCTTTTTGATCGGCGTTTGGTTTGGTTCCTCGACACGGTTTTCCACAACACTCTGAGCTCCTGCTGGCACGATGCTTCGCAGAGTTGATGGACATTTTCTCTCTATGTGGGCCGTCTAATTCAAATAGGCCAGATCCACAGAGACCCAAGAAACATGCAGCGAAGCTCGAGAAACTTGTGGGAATGCTTGCACATCCTTTAGCATTGTATATCCTAGACTCTTTAATTTTATAAATGTAAAATGAAAAGAAATCAACAAAAATCAACGCAAAACTTCAATCTGTTTATTTAACATTTGGATAAATGACACCGTGTGTTACGTCCAGTGAAAAAATCTTTAAGCACTTATCTATTTCCTCATCCTCTTCCCCTTTTTTGAGAACTTACTACCCTCTGGAGACTTGCTCTTCATGCGAGCCATTCTGCTAGCCTTCTGCTGCCTGTCTTTTCTTACTTGCTCAGGATCTCTGATCTCGAAAGGTGCATTGGAATTAGGCACTGATCGGCGATCCTTTCCCCGCTTGACCTGCCATTTATTTCCATATATCCTAGAGCTCGCTGATCAAAACAAAAAGTTTGTTGAATTATTTGTTATTTTGTAGTAGAATTTGGATCGCTATACTATAATGAGCAAGATGAAACTGTACAATCTAAAAGCAAAACCTGCAAGCTAAGGTATCGTAACACAACATTTAAGGACAAATTTTCGAAACCAACCCATTTGACGTTTTTATTGCAAAAAACAACCCCTTTCACATTTAATTAGAGAAACCGACCTGGTTTCAGCACTGTCGCTGAAACCAGGTCGGTTCCGATAAAAAACTTTACGAAACTTCACGGGAGTTCAACTCCCGTGAAGTTTAGTACGTTTTTAAACTTCACGGGAGTTGAACTCCCGTGAAGTTTAATTCCCCCTTAAACTCAGCCAGCGAGCTACTCGCTGGCGAATTTACCCTGCAGCTTCACGGGAGTTCAACTCCCGTGAAGCTGCGGGCTATATAACCGCAGCGACAGACCTCCCCCTCACCTCGGTTCTCTCTCCCCGCAACCGCCCCAAACCCTAACCTCTCTCCGCCGCCGTCCACCTCGTTTCCGACCCCAGCCCCCCAAATCCGACCGCCGGCCATTGCTTCCGACCGCTTCCGACCGCTTCCGACCGTTTGCCCTTGATTCCGACCGCCGGAACAGTCAAGTTCGCCGGATTTCGACAATTTGAGGGTAAATTCCTCCCAAAATTAGATTTTCTCTTAATTTATTGTATTTTCTCGCTATTTAATGGTGATTACATGTAAAAAATCATATTTTAGAATTTAATTGTGAAATTTTTATGATTTATGTGAAGAAAACTTAACTAATTTTGTCGATTTAGAGGGTAAATTTTCAATAATGTAAAAAATAGTGTTACTACATATGTATGACATCTAATTTATTTAAAAAAAATTGTGTTATCAATAATTTTGTCGATTTTAGAATTTCATTATGAATAAGTTATGAAATTAGTGCTATATGACATCAATTAAAAAATCTAAAAATTAGTGCTATATGACATCAATTAGATTTGAGAATTTAATTGTGAATTTTATGAATTATGTGAAGAAAACTTAAATTATTTTGTCGAGTTAGAGGGTAAATTATCAATAATGTAAAAAATAGTGTTGGTACATATGTATGACATCGGTATATGAATCGGTATATGAATTTGTTATAAATTATGGTTCCCTAAAATTGATATAGGATTTAATTTTAAGTAACAAAAAATTTTTAGAGTCTTTTCGTGTAATATTGATCTTGATTGTTTTACTCTTCAGAGGTAATGATGAACGATCGAATCGTAATTTTGTGTTCGTATGATGGGAAGATTAAATACCTCGAAAATAATATGCCCGTTTATGAAGGAGGTACGACGAGACCATTGTTTATAACAAAATCGTGTACTTTCGATGAGTTGGTTAATGAATTGCACAAACTTACATTAACCAACTCACGTGAGTATCACCTTAATGTTATTTGCAATTATCCTGTCGTGGAGAACAGGACAAGCGGCATTCAAATATCAAGTGACTACGATATGAGTCTAATTGGAGTCTTACATGACGAGAAGCGTTCGATTGAATTGTTCATTGAAAAACATCAAAGGAATTTGGGCAAATCGTTGAATTATGATGGAATGTATTCCCGCATGTTGGAAGACCCTGATGTTGATTCCGTTGGTTTTTTATCTCCTCAACAAGATGAAGGTTGGACACAATCACAATATATAAGCGGTCCTTCGTTTGTTGGCACTTCGAATGCGTGTTTAAATCATATATATATTGTAGTAATTATTGTCAACAGGTAATAGTTGTATATATGAGTTAAATAGGTAGACATATACAAAACATGCACAGCAGCCTGTGCATGTTTTGTAAAACCTGCAACTTCACGGGAGTTCAACTCCCGTGAAGTTGCAGTCTAAATTTCCCAGAGAGCGATTCTCTGGGAAATTTAGCCTGTAACTCCACGGGAGTTCAACTCCCGTGGAGTTTTAAACGCTGCAACAAACTCCACGGGAGTTGAACTCCCGTGGAGTTTATTCAACAAAATAATCTTCACGGGAGTTCAACTCCCGTGAAGTTTAAAAACGTACTAAACTTCACGGGAGTTGAACTCCCGTG